ACTTGTGTCCATTCTTGTCCTGTCAGACAGTGGACTTGTGTCCATTCTTGTCCTGTAAGACAGTGGACTTGTGTCCATTCTTGTCCTGTCAGACAATGGACTTGTATTTTCAGATGCCAAGTGAACTGCATCATAGCGCACGAGCGAACCCCCCCGCCCCCGCCTGCACCAAACGGGACGAGATGGGACAGAAGAAGGTGGTTCTTAAAGAGACAGAGGCCAATTTCAAGGCGTTTAAAAGAGGAAGTGATGAGAAGATAAGTTTATTTTCTATTTAAACATAAAAACAGCATTTTAATAACAACTAAAGGTGACATAGATACTTTATTGTGGTATAGTATTTAAATATATGCCTGAGAAACATAATATTGGCCCTTTAATAATGAATCTTCTTCTTACACCAGAGTCAGTCATGGAGTTCCTCAGGTTTCAGTGCTTGGACCAATCCTCTTTACTTTATATACAGTATGCTTCCATTAGGTAAAGTTAATAATCAGCATGGGATAAATTTCCATTGTTATGCTGATGATACTCAGTTATATTTATCCATGAAACCTGATGAATCCAACCAGTTAGTACTAGTGAAAACTTTTTACAGATGTGATGGTATTAGATAAAACAAAACCCTCACCAGAGAGTGGTCCAAACTGTGGTTAAGCATCTTTAAAGCATCGGTCTTCAGGTCTGAGACAAACCTTTGGTACTCAGCGTTCTGAGGTTCGTGGTATGTCAGGATCTTCACACACTAGAAACAGAAATGAAATGGGTTGAAACCAACCTGCTGGGCCAGAACTGAACAGAACCTCTGTATGTTTTAGCAGACCTGTGGTGGGGTTTGGAAACTCTCTGTACCTGGAAGGCCTTCTTGGCCACTGCATCATCCTTGTCTCCACGGAACCATGGCTGCTGCTGTCTGGAGTTCAGGCTCTCAGCAAACAGGTCGATGTAAAAGAAGACGAACTGATGGTGAGGAAGGTCGGCCTCCCAGAAGTGAATCATTAACTTCCTGAAGACGTCCGGAGAGCAACAGACGAACATAACTGAAGAAAAAGAAGAGAGTCAGGGTGAACACCGACCTGGAAGGAACACTCAAACAGCTGCTAGACCTTATTGGTCCATACTTTCCTAACAGAGCACTTCGCTCTGCAGGTTTACTTGTGGTTCCTAGAGTTTCTAACAGTAGCATGGTTCTGCAGGAGGTTTCTTTCTGCTAAAGGGAGTTTTTCCTCTCCACTGTCTCCACTGTGCTGCTCAGGATGGAGACTGGAAGAGAATCAAGACAATCTGCTGCTTCTTTGTGTTTAGTTAAACACAGTCCTGCTTGGAGCCACAGCTCAGACTTTACAGCAGAACCATCAGAGATTAAACCTGACCTTTGACCCTCTGACCTTTGACCCTCTGACCTTTGACCCTCTGACCTTTGACCCGCTGAAATGTAACCATCTGACCTTTGACCCTCTGACCTTTGACCCTCTGAAATGTAACCATCTGACCTTTGACCCTCTGACCTTTGACCCTCTGACCTTTGACCCTCTGAAATGTAACCCTCTGACCTTTGACCCTCTGAAATGTAACCATCTGAACTTTAACCATCTGAACTTTGACCCTCTGACCTTTTGACCCTCTGAAATGTAACCATCTGACCTTTGACCCTCTGACCTTTGACCCTCTGACCTTTGACCCTCTGAAATGTAACCATCTGACCTTTGACCCTCTGACCTTTGACCCTCTGAAATGTAACCATCTGAACTTTGACCCTCTGACCTTTGACCCTCTGAAATGTAACCATCTGACCTTTGACCATCTGAACTTTAACCATCTGAACTTTGACCCTCTGACCTTTGACCCTCTGACCTTTGACCCTCTGAAATGTAACCATCTGACCTTTGACCATCTGACCTTTGACCCTCAGACCATCTCCGGTC